CCAAGGTGTAATTTTTGAGAGTGTGCATCACTCCCATCAAGGAAAACTTGTAATCTGATGCCATAAAATCATTCTTGGAAGTCTAACACATAGTGGGTTTATTCCAGATAGTCCTAAAAAGTCACAAAGAGCAAAATGCTAGCACAGCAGAACCCCAACTTGTAATACCTTGTTGGGTGACTTTAGGCAAATTACTTTATCTACCTGAGTCTCAGGTTCCCCATCTGTTAAAGAGTAGTGCTTTGTAAACGTAGTTTAAGATCTGCTGATGAAAATCATTTTCATGCTTTCTTTTGCGGCTGTGAACACTTTGAATGTGGGACATCCTACATAGTTATACATGTATTCATCACAAAAACAGCAAAAAAGGAAAGAAAAATCCAAAGAACTATGCATTTTTTTGTATTATTACTGGTAGCGTGCATTGATTAGAGAGGATTAGAATCTAATATTTTAAAAAGTAAATAAAAATACAAGGGATTAGTTATGAAGCTTGTGTTCAGAGACTATAACTCACAGTGAGTCTGTGCATTTTGAACAGTTTATTTGTAAGGAAATATTCTAAACCCATTAGACTGCTGCTGCTTCAAAGCAGTGTGGAGACTTAGAGGGTCAAGAGAGAAAAGAGAATGGTGAGAGTTTTATAACCATAGGCTGATATTTTTGAAAAGCATTATCATGTTTTTTAATATGTGGAGGACTTGTAAAAGTGCAGGCTTGCAAGGTAAAACTACCTTCTCGTTTACTGCCAGGATTCACCTGCAGGTTCCTGGATTCTGGGATTCCACTGTTCTTAGAATAATGTCCTGAACATTTCAGCTGCAAGGATCTTACATTGCTGTGTATATTAAAAGAGCTGGGTTAATGTGACTACAAAACAAGCTATAAATCTTTAAATTTTTTCCAGATAAATCGGTGAGTTCAATCACCAAAAGACTTCCATTTGTTTCTTCTGCATGTAGATATATTATTACATGCATTTCCCATTACAAATGCATTGCATTTCAATGTTTCATATTCAGTTTTATAAATAATTACCACTTGCATGCTTATCTTGAGATTAGTAGTGGTTCTTAAAGTACCATTCCTTTTCTAGTTGCACCTTGTATTGCTATGTGAATTTGGGGTACTTTGGGGTACTTTGTTGCGTGCGCTGCTTGGTTACTCTCTGCTCTTTTGATATGGTAAAAATGCCAGAAAACGGGGGGGTTTTGGTAGGCATCCTAATTCCCCCGTTTCTTTGGGGGAACAAGGGACTATTGCTAAAGCCTCTGATCACAGAGGGGAGAAGATTTACTCTTGCTTATACTTTGTATAGGCATGCAGAAGCTCAGTGGCTTGAACTTTGGGGCTTTTGAGCCTGACCTCGAGCGCAGCTTCCGAAGGCTGCTGAGAGGTGGCTTTTGGTGACGGAAGGGAAATTTGAAAGCTAGCTCCCCGGTGCTCCAAGAGCGTGGCATCAAACGGTGCTTGGCTAAGCTGTCCCAATGCAAATGAAAATATGATGGTGTAGAGAGGTTTGGGAAGCCTTTCCTTAAGTGCCTGACACCTCACTCTTACAAACACCTGTGATTTTTACAATGAACAATGTGCAATATTTCTTAGAGCCTCCACCTCCTGTCTTATTGTAAGGATTTCAGTCTTCATTTAAAACAAAGCTTTCACTCTTCTGAGTTACAGGGGAAAAACTTGGAAACGTAGGCCCAGCTGTCAAAGTGCCAACCACTTGTCACTTGTAATTTCACTACCTAAATATGTTAGAGAAAATAGCATTATTTAGACCTGTCTGGGTAGTGCTTTCATGTTCCACTGCACTTCTTCGGTAACTGAGGTGTCCTTTTGTTTCCACACATTAAATAATGTGTTACTCATCAATTTTTGACCTCACCGAGATGAAGAATTAGTCAGATTGATGTGTGTATAAGCGCCTCATGACTATGTTCCTTCCAGTTGGGTCAAACAAGACAAATTTTAGATCTTAAGCGCATGGCTAAATTTACCCAGTTCTGCATACTTGATTTGGCAAAACCATATGGACTTTTTGATACATTCCTCAGATCGCTTCTGAATCAGTTTCAAAAGTCTATATTCATGAATTGTACCCACTGTTCAGTAGGAGGTGTAGAAGAACAACGCCTATTTTAGGCGGAAGATTTCCTGTGAACGTACTTGTCTCGGACCAGCTCTACCCTGAAGCTGCAGCCTGAAGCTGTTGAAAGGGCCAGTCCTGTCCTCCCACCTGCACTTCTCCACCCTCCCGCACTCCCTGGGGCAGGGGGGGGGGGGACCAGGGGGCCCCCAGCCGTACCCTGGATCAGCTCAGGGATGTAGCCAAACAGGAATTTTCTCTCTCTCTGTCCTTCAGGCTGAGCTTTTCCGGAGCAGAGCTCTTGGGTCTGCTCCAGAGTCCCCTCTGCCGCAGGGAAAGCGGTGAGGATGTGCAGCTGGAGATGAAAAGAAGGACTGGAGGCAACGGGGGGGGGGGGGGGGAGGGGGGGGGGGGCTGGGGGGGGATGTCTCAGGTCTCAGGTCAGCTTTTGCTAACGGTGCAGTTGCACTTCGGGCTTTGCTGTGGGTTGTCTGGCTGATACAGAAAAATGGAAAATTCCCTTTTAACCTGTTAGGCAGGATTTCCACAGGAAAAAATGTATTTGCTCAACACAAGCTGCGAAGCAGCTGACGGATCAATCCCCGACGATATGCCTGAAAATCATCCTGCAGGATATTAGATGTTTAAAGCATAGCCTGTTCCCCGAGCTGGTTTGCCCTGAGGATGAAAGCTGGGGATGTCTTTCCGCATCGCCAGTTGGGATTCCAGCAGGTCGGCAGCACAAAGCAGGCTCGTCCCTGCCTCCGCCCAGCTGCAGAAGCCCAGGGGGAGCCTGGAGGATGTATCCAAGGCAGCGGGTCTCCTCGTCAATAAAATGCCACTTATTGCTGGGAAGGCACAGGTCCTGATCAGTAAAGGTGCAATAATAAGAGGTTGACAGGGAAAGAACTACGAGCTGTTTAAAAAAATACATTTGAGAATAATAGTATAGCCTCCTTTATATTTCAGCTATAACAATGGCAGAAATTGCCTTGTAATTGCTTTTTATTCTTTTGAGAAATTTTAAAACTGTAAGTAGGTTTTTTTTTTTCCTTCTGTCAGTGGGCTTAAGAGTAGATTATTTGTATCTGAAAGGAGAGAGCTCAGCCCAGAAGGTATGAAACAGAGGGCTGCTAGAACTTGCCGGAAGGTCTTGCATTAGACCTGAGACAATCCAAAAATTAGCTGATGTAAAAAAAATACATATATATGTAGAGTCATCTTTTTTCTCCTGTTCCCCCAACCATGTGATCCTGGTGCAGGCTCTGTGGCCCGTTTGCCCTGTGGTGAGCTGATTCAGGGAGCTAAATTGGCAGAAAAGCGCTTGCTGTTTTTTGTTTAGTTAGTTCTTTGCTGTCTCATTTTCTGCACTTATTCACCACAAAGTGAGACAAACTCCAGGGCCAGGAAAGGAGAAGCAGAGTGTGGGCAGAACAGCAAGGGAGGGGAGCCAGCAGGACACCACCTTTCAGTTGCAGCTAGCTTTTAGACTGACTTAACTCTAATCTAAAATCTCCTTCTTAAAATGTTATAGTGCATTAAAGCCATTTTTAAACTTTGGGTTGTAGCAAGAATGTGTGAAAATACCCGTTTCTTCATCGACTAATGGTCCAAATAAGTATGAAGAGTCTGACTGAACTCATGGGGGCTAAAGTTTGAATATACTTGTGCATACGCCTGTGTTTTGGCAGGGTTTCTAAGAACATCAATATACAGGAATTCTTTTTTAAAAATAAAATCAGAATTGTCGACATTTTTACAGTTCAGTGCCTAAACTGAAAACGTAGAAACAATTAACTTAGAATTGAATGCAATATTTTGTTTCACATAAAATATTTTGGTTCGAGCTTTTAAATACTTTCCAAGTTTCAGATCTCCTCTGCGCTGCTATAAAATTCAATCTGAACTTGCAAATACTTTGTTTACTCCAGAATCATTTTTTTTTTTTTTTTTGGAATATAAACTATGCATTTTCACTGCCAGCTATAGCTTCTAATGCAGGCTTATGAAGCTAGGCCACTTCCCCTACCATACGCTCTCAGTGAGTCAGGACTGCGGGTGGAACTTGAGTTTTGTCATTGCCAAGAATAAAAAGACACTGCTTTATCAGAGCAGAAAACTTAAGGGCATCATTTTTTATCATCAGAAGTGAAAAACAGCGGTTCGGCATTTTCATATTTTTGTATTGCTGACATTTCTTCATCTTTCAAATTAAAAATATTCAGTGCACACATTGGTTTAAAAGCACCGAAACCCAGCAAAATGCAGCTTGATATCTCCTTGTGCTGAGAGCTTTGGCCTCATCCAGGAAGACACCACGACACTTAGCCATGTTAGTCATCACAGTGGTTTCAAAAGTGAGTGCTTGGTGCTTTGCGGGTGCAAACCCAAAGAAAGCTAAACTTGCAGAAGATCACGGAGAAGTCTAGTATCCGGTTGGCTGAACCGGCAAATTTTCTGGAAACTCCCCTAAAATCTGGGCTAAAATTATTTCTTTTTGATGCTGAAATCACAGCTGTGACAAATATTCAGCCTTATCTATGATTCATGTGTTCTCTCAGAATGGGAAGTGTTAGAGTAGCACAATTTAGTAACTTTTGTTTACTTCCCCCTAGTTCAGCATTTCTAATTTAACGTGTTTTCTCTGGAGTAGGTTATCTACAGAACAAACCCATTACTACCTGCCTATATCTGACACTTTGCCATTTGTTCAGCCATTCTCTGCTGCCTAATTAGAAAATATTCAGCTTCCTATAATGTGACCAAGTAGGGGGAAAATTTTCCATATTCAGTGTTGCAGAATTCATTTGCAATCTCCTGTCTTTTTCACATACAGAGTATTTTCTTGTTTCAAAACGTACCCCGATTTACCGGCGAAATAAAATTACCATCTTTCTCTCTCTGTTGGCAGTTGCAACATTTCTTGAAACCTGGTGGCCTCCACGTGCCTGGCTCCCAGAAGGTAAGACAATGCTGGACACTTTCAATTGTGTGTTGTTGGCTTTCAAGTCTCAGTTCTGCACCCCACTGCCACAGAAAATGGGGTTGAAACCTGTTTTCCTATTGTGCCCGCTTGTCCCTTACCATCGGGGTTGGGAGCACATTATTCATGTACAGCTCTGTGCCCCGCTAATAGCTTAATTTGCAAACTTTTCCTTTTATCGAAGCACCTAACCTCAACTGGTGCACACTTGAAAGTTGTGCTTCCTGTAATTTTTTGCCTTTTGGTTCCTTTTAAATCATTTCAACATATTGCAAACGAAAGATTGGTTTCCTGCATGTAATAGTTGTTTCTTTGGTGATAGGCTCTTGGTTGGTGTTTGAGAAAGAAATCCTGGTGGTCTTTCATGCAATTAAATTCAGAGTAGCTGTGGGGATCTTGAAATGAAAATATATTTCACTGCAAAACTGTCATCCTAACCAGCCACTTCAGATGAATGCTTGCTGTTCTCTCCCTTGGTATAAAATAATGTGTATTTTAAAGCTGAGATTTTTCTTTTCTGTCTACCCTCGTGGTCATTAGAAAATTGCAAATGAAATGTCGTTATCTTGAACTGATAGTAGTTGTATTTAAAAATCTCCCGTTAAAGCAAATGAATTAACTAAGCAACAAAGTTAAAATCTGTATACTGAGAGGCCAAAGTGGTAACAGAGCCACCCATGTCTTAGCAAGAACAGCTGAGTACGAGTGAAAAGATGTCTAGGAAAAAAATTGAGTTTTGCTTGCACATTGTTCTCATAGGCATGACTTATTTTAATAATTTGCCAAATCTACGTTGTTAAAAGTCATATGGTACCACTTGTAAGAGATTTTTAAAAAATTATGTGCATTAGAGGGATTTTCTTGAAGTAGAGCAAATGGTGTTCTGCTTACAGCAATGCAATTTCATTTAAGTGAATGCACTTCACAGTGGAGTAAAATGTAGTTCATTGTATTTAACTCAGGTATTAGCAAAAAGAACAAATCGGTGGCCGGTTTTATAAGGAATGTATCTTTTATGTGATAAGAGGAATGGAAAATAAATCATTTTCAGAAGAGCAGTTTATAAATGCCAACCCTTCTAGTAGAATATTGAAAAGCTCAGAAATGAAGGATTCAGGTCTTTGCTTTTCACGGTGACGCCTCAACCCTGCCCTTTCTCGGGTTCCTCTTTGTGAAGGATTTTTAGGAGGGCATCATCATCATCCCACGCGGTGAGACTGGCAGCTCTGCCTGCCCGTTCTGCTTCTCATCCTTGACCAAAAGAGAATTTGGCTCCACACTCTCTCGGTTTGATGGGGAATTTGAAGCTGCTTCGAAAACATGTTATTCTACATTTGACTTTCCTTTTTGGGATATTGCAAACTGCGTTTTTACATGAATTTTCATGAAAATTTTAGATGAATTTAGATTTTTAGAGGGGAAGCTTTCAAAGCAACTTACTACTTTGTGAGTCAAAATCAGTTTGAAACTAGTTGCAAGTAGAATGGCTGAGAAGATCACATGGTACTTTTCAAGTAAAAAATAGCTCCATTTGGTCAAAAAATGCTTTCATGTGGTTTCTCAAGGGGAATAGTAACTTCTTATGAACTGTTTAGAAGAGACCCAGTGTCAAAGTGGCTGGTGGCACCGTTCCATTCTCTCAGCCTCCAAAACACATTTTCCAGCTGAAGTAAATATGTGTTGGTGACCTTTGTGAGAGGTAGGTTGAGCAGGAGGTTTTAAAAGTTGGCGGTTTAATATAATCTGCAAATTATTTTCCCATCTTAGTGAGGTGGGGAGAATTAGCAGGCAGAGCAGCATGTGGCCTGTGGAAACTTCTTGTGCTGTAGTATATAGTGATGAATGGAGAGAAGGAGGAGGGAAGCACCAGAGAATCTCTGGCCAGCCCTGGGTTGTAGAGCTCAGGACTCTTCATGGGGCTCCTGCCTTCCCCAGCTGCTCAAATTTTTCTCCGGTTGCACCAGACCCACAGAATTTGAAGTTACAGGGGTAAATAAAAAGCTGTTCTCTCGTTCTCTGCGCACACCGATACTGCGTGCTGTGCTCTTGGTAGCAGACACTGTTATCTCGCCTGTTGGTTTTTGTTTGTCTGGGAGGGTCGTGTTATTTTTTTTATAGTTTGTGTTGTACTTTAAATAAAATGACTTAAACTTTCACAACACTTTTTACTGCTGGTCCCTTGGTATTTGCCCTTCATGAGGTTTAAGATTTCCAGTATAATTCTAACAAACTTAACTTCTATTGTACGAGTGGCGACCGCTTTTTGAATATCAAGTTGTATATACCATCCTTACTCAAACACCTAAATCCTTAGCTAATGTGTGACAGATAAGGAAGTGACATTGGGGTTGAGTCAAACCGCTCAGTCAAAAACCCAGAATGCCTTAATTTATCACATCGTGCACAATGTAAGCAGAATAACACGGATCCTTTTGTTCATATTCAAGTCACAACATCTGTACGATTACATGCAGAACATAATTTTTTTTGTTGTTGTTGATAAAACCCATAAAGATTTCTACTATATTAAGGCTCATCACTTTCAGTTGGCTTTTACCATTGCATTGAAGTCTACTGAAGATGGCTAGATGTTCTGCGTTGTAGGGAGCAGATCGAGTAACTCAAATTATCCCATAGAAACGTGGAGACCTGCATGTTCTCCACAGGCCTACAAGCCCAGTGGCTAACAGATTGGGCTCTGGGAGCTGTTTTGTGCTAATGATGCTCCCAAGGTCAGTATCAAAATAATAAACTAGGTGTGGTGGATTTAGCTTCTCTCTCTGTGTTTTCTTCTAACAATCCAAGAAATGCCTTTTATTTTTTTGTGGGTATGTGTATGTGTGTAAATGAGCAATTTTTGCATTTTTAAATGTTGGGGTGTTCATCAGTCACTGATATCGTTATGATTACTTTGCTTGTGTCAGCCTTTAATACACTTTTAGACAAGCTTTTCTTCATTCAAAATAGCACCAGTGGTCTGTCTGTCAGCAGTGAGGTGGGCAGGAGATGGTATCTGCTGTGTCTGATTCTGGACTAACAGTGTCTGAGTGGCCAGAGGCAGCCCAGGCACGGGGGATGACTGATGTGCTCCCATTTAAGCTTTTTTTACCAGTGACAGTGCTAATTTGTGTATTCCTTTTCTCTTCCAGCCATCAGTTCTCATTAAGCTGATAGAAATTCATATCTGTGAGCTCTCTACCTGGCTTTCCAATTTGATTAAAATTGGTCAAAAAGTTATTGGACAAAAGAAAGATGGACAGTGTGATCACATAAGTCTTTTTTCATTAGGAATTGAAGCCAAGAATGCTGCATTATAAAGCTATGTCATGCATTTGTGGGAGATATTTCTATCTCTTATAAAGCATTTGTCTAGTCCATGTTTGCAATTAATGGCAGCCATATAAGCTATAAACATTACCAGTAGTTTGCAGTGATATTTTTACATCACCTGGAAAGCCGTTGATGGAAAATGAGGAGGACTATCTTGCAGAAGTAACAGATTCTGAGAGGAACAGGAACAATGTGAAAATTGTAAGGCCCAAATGTTAGCAAGGCTACTACATTTGGAAGACATTAGGTCGTTTTTGTACTATTTTATGCATGGAGCCTCCTAATAGTTATTTCTCATGGATCTGCAAGATACAAAAGACTTTAGGTTAAAGGAATAGTAATGAATCATTTATGAGATATTATCTACAAAGATGGATTGGTTCCATCTGTTACAGTAATAAAAATAATAATGCTTAGCAATTACATAAATGCTTTACAGGTTTTCAGTGTGCATCACAAACATTAATCTAAGATCTAGCCCATAGCACAGTTTTTAAGAGCTTGTAAAATGGCTTCAGCTTATACATACTGGTTTATTTATTTATTTTTAACAAGGAAATTTGTTGTAATAGAGTTTTTAAACTGTTTTAGAAAATTGAGTTGTAGCTCCTTGGTCTAAGACACTATATAAAGATAGCCACAAAATTAGCTTATTTTCCTTCTGTTAATTGAAGTTGCTGCAAATGTCCGGGAAAAATACAGCTCTACAGGCAGGTGTTCATTAGCATACAAATGATAGAAAAGTCTTCCAAGGTGCAGTACTTGCATTATCTCACAGATATTTGTTAATCTCATTTTTTGTGTCTCGTAAGCAGTTCACTGATCGAAGGGCAACGTATTCTGAAGCAGAGTACCGTCTGATAGAAGTTCTGCTATGTCTATGTGTTTTATTTCAGTGTATAGAATCATGTTACCTGAAAGAAATAACTTCTTTTGTTCGGTTCAGGCAGAAATTTGATATATGAAGTAGTAGTTTCCCATAAAACATGTTTTAGATGCAGCCTAATTTACCTAACAGAATGAGTATTAGATTTAATTCTGTTCTGTTTGCTTTTTAATTTGAATTCTTGAAAAAGAAGCGATGATAACTTTACATAAAAAAAAAATATTTTAGTATCTGTTGGGATTGTTTGATGTCCTCCCTAGCAGACAAAGGTGTGGTAAAATAGACAAGATTTATAGTAAATCCAGTGTAATAAAGAGCTATACCTACAGATATTTTGAGCATGCCTGTAGGCTATATGAATATATAGATCAATATATACTATTACGCTTGGGGTAAGTACCTATGTTAGGGTGTCTTGAAGTTGTTTTCTTTGCAGTGTAACCCCTGACCTAGAAAGACAAGGTGCCATGTAAGCTATTGCTTTGTAAAGCTGTTTATCTATATACGTCATAGATTAGACATGGGCTTTGCCGTACAACTTGACTGAAACAAGTGACATTAATTCCATTAACTGTGTTCAAAAGTAGTGTATGTATTGACAGTTTGAATGGGGTGGATTATGTTTCCTGACCTACCAAATATTTGGTTTGGAAACATTTGAAGCATTAGATTATGCTAGATAATAGAAAGGTTTTAATACAACTAAAACATCCGTTTGCCAAAACAAGATATAATTTCCTTAAGCGATATTCTGTTAATTCATAT